ACGGGTGGACAGCTATCAACGAAGTAGAAGTTGATAATGACAGGGAGAGTGTTTTAGATGTTAAATTTTGAACTGGGTGCAGTGTGACAGCGACGTGAGTGTTATACACCTGATGATGGCCGTCTGAGGCCAAAACATGTAGTGTAGAGAGCAAGATCAAAGACACAAGAATATATTGTTTGCACTTGAGACGGAGGTTATATCATTTATCGTATGGAGTGCAACAGGATGCTTAAATATAATATTGTAGTAAAGGAAGTTTAAAAGGAGAAAATTTAACACTGAGATTATTGACGTGGGATTATTGAAATTGATCACCAAATAAGGAAAACCTTAAATTGAGTAGCTTTAAATGGGGGTATCATAATGTCATTGTAATATAAATTAGTGTTCCAGCATATGTGAGAAATGTATTACTTATGTATGCTGGAATGAATGTAATAGTACCATTAGAAAATGTAAGTTGACAGTAATGCTAAACATTACTATTTTATCTTGCTTCAGGTTTACCAGAGGAATTTAAGGGCAGAAGGAGGAAAAGTTTTGGCCAAAAAGATGGTGAAGATGCCAGCTCACAATATGAAGAAAAGGAGAAGATTGTGTTAGAAGGTATTTTGTTTATTTAGTATGGTTTTCCATTTCGTATATGTAATGGCAGAATCAGACTCTTGGCCACGTACTGAATTCAGTAACATGTATGTGAAACCCTGTACCAGATATACCATGGCATAGTCTGTCTGTGTAAGGTGTAACATATATTGATGTATTTATGGCACAGAGGAAGTTTTTGTGCTTCTGACAAGACCATGACAGTTTGATTTTTCTGCTGTACCAGATTCAAGAACTTGTAGTCCTTTTAACTTACTCCCCCTCTGCTTATCTGTAGCTGAAGACACATAGAAAGCTGACACATTATGAACCTTAACAGACAAAATGGAAGGTTGTACTCAGAATTTAAATATGGTGTACACATATTTTCCTCATGTATTCTTTGTGACTTTTCATACTTCATTGCCCTTTATGTTTGTCCTGTATTTAGAAGAACTTTTGAGTAGGTCCAGCCATTCTTGCAGAAAAGTCTATAGAAATTTCTCTCACCTTCCATACAAATTTTAGTACTTTTATTTCATGATGAATTTTAGAGTTTTGAAGCATTATATATAGGTTTCTATACTTTGCGTACTACTAGTGGATGCTTTTACAGCCTATAATCATACAAATCCCAAGTCATGATGTTTTATAATTTGTCATAAGAAGTCTAAGAAGACACAACAAAACACTGAGTGAAAGGGTATAAAAATATCAGTAAAAAAATGGTATTCTGTGTATTATGCATTTATGTATTAGTAATAATAATGATATAATAATAATATGGTGATGAAGTCTGTCTGAATCCTTGAAAGGGGATGATGTAAGTGGGTTGAGATTTTCCAAGAACCTTATGATGACATTCATTTGGTTAAGGGAGCAGTGCTTGCCTCTGTGGCTGTGTGCAAAGTTAACATATTGTGGCTGCAAACTCATGTAATTGCTAGACCAAGGGGGTGTGAATGTAGAGTAGGTGTACATCTGATATATTTACAATTTACAAATTTCGCAAATGATGAAGCTGTGAATGTGGAGGGTGTACTGTATGTTAAAGTCACACTTTCTCATGTAGATAGTGATTATTATTTGTGATTCAAATTTGATACATTGCTTACAGCTTCAAGCTTACTGTCTGCTGGGATGTGACATTGTGTAATCTGAAAGTTCATTACCAAAATTTTAGGGAAGCTCCTGCCTCCCACTTCAGTGTAATAGCATCATATCCTAGAAGACAGTTTCACCTCAAGTCTCATGTGCCTGCAGTGGGTTTTCATTTAAAAAAATTAATAGTGTTTTGAATATTAACTTGTAGCGGCTTTTTTGACTTGTCATGGTGAAACCTTGAATTATGTTTTTGGCAACAATGTGGGTTCAGATCTGTCTCCTCTCCCACAAATATAAACATGTCATCATGTAAAAGTGTCTTTAAAATTTTTTTCTACTCATTTTGGTATTTGAAAGTGACAGCTGAAAGTGATTTTGAAAATTTAACTTCTTAATTTGATTTATATATATTTTGACAGAAATAGGACACAATCACTTTGATGTATTACCAGAAGGTTGGGTTCAGGTGACTCACAACAGTGGGATGCCAGTCTACCTCCACAAACAGACCCGAGTCTGCACTCTATCTCAGCCATACTTCCTTGGGCCTGGCAGTGCTAGGGTAAGTGACCTTACTGCACAGTCCTCCATGTATTCAAGCACTAGCTCATAACTGACTCCATTCTTATTTTAAGATAGATTTAAGAATCTAATTACTTTCCAAATGACAGTTAAATATCATACTTCATGGTTGAGTGGTTAGGACTCCTTTCTCTTATGTTGGGAGGTCCTGAGCTCAAATCTCAGCCTGGAGACAAGCTATCCTGACTGAAGTTTTCATGGGTTTTCTCAGTCCCTCCAGGCAAATGATGGGAGAATATCTCAGACAACCACCACTTTACAAAGACAAAACAACTCCATCCAGTGTGACTATTGAAGTTTTTACTACTTGAAATCTTAAGACCCTTACATGTTTCGGTCCCTATAGACCATCATCAGAGGGACATCGATACTTCTTGGAAACTACCATCACAATGGGTGTTTTGAGTGTTAAAATACATATACATACAATGCTTGTAATGCACAGTATATACAAATCCAACTTTTCCACAACTACAGCAGCTTTCTTGGTATATTAAAGTTTTTAAAGTTTTAAAACTTTGTTATTTAAGTTAAAATTTAGAAACCAAGTAGGTTCGTGTTCCTACAAACCTATTTTAACACTCAAAACACCCATTGTGATGGTAGTTTCCAAGAAGTATCGATGTCCCTCTGATGATGGTCTATAGGGGCCGAAACATGTAAGGGTGTTTAGTTTTCAAGTAGTAAAAACTTCAATAGTCAAACTGGATGGAGTTGTTTTGTCTTAGTAATTGTTAGTGTGACGGACCAGAATGAAACAGATCAAATTAACCACTACTTTGTTTCACATTCTTGCCAATTCTTTAATTGTACAATTATTTGATGCTATTTCATTTATGTTATTGACAGTGTTGTTAAGTTTGTTGTATCAAATTTCATTTGAAGTTCATTGAGTATTGCTGAAGTTAAACTTCTTTCCTTTTTGGTAGAAACATGAAGTACCATTGAGTGCAATCCCTTGCCTGCAGTACCGGAGAGCTCTAGAGGCTGAAGCTGTAAACAAACAGCAAATATCTACTGCCAATTCTGATCCAGCAGCCACCAATATTGCAAATGGTAAGTGTAAAGAAATATTTCTTCAGTGATACAGTTGTTAGAGAAAAGTTTATAATTGTAATTGTTTCTTACATCCTGTCGTGTATTTAATCAATATTAGGGTTAATTTCACCGACCACAGAACACGTTTTTATTATTGTCACACTACATGTTTTGACCTCAAGAAATTAACCCTAATAAAGTTTATACTTATATGAATACTACTTGCACCTTTTTTCCTATATTTTTGCTTTGATAATGATTGTATGGGTTGCATTCAAGGCTTCCTATTGCTGAAGTTGATGTATTGCTCAGCAGCAGTGAAGTCTATGGCATAAATGAAGGAAGATAATTTTCATCAGTTCCATTTAACAATATGTTTCAAGACATTCAAACAAGCAGCTTTTGTGGTATGGGCACTGTCAGCCGATAATTTTATGGAAGACTGTGGCTTCAGAAAATGCCACATACTGCATATTGTGCTGTAGTGGCCAGTACTCCTGCTTGTTATTTTGGAGAGCCCATGTTCAAGCTTCATTACAGAAGTTTTCTTTGCTGACTGATGTTTTTCTCAGTACCACCAGGCTGATGCTAGGATAATGTTTTAAAATGGGTGACACATTCTTCTTCCATCATAACTATCATCCTTTACAATAGTTTGAGAGATTCCCATGTCGGTGACTGAACAGTTCTATCTCACGGGACGTGGCAAACCAGACCAGGCCACATGGCACCACATCTAATGAATCAGTTATTCATTATTATTTAGAATGGTCATTATACTGTAGCGTGTTTTGCTACTGAAGACGCCGTAGAGACTGTTAATTGGTTTATTCAACAACCTACAAGTCTCGGCTACAATTATTTATAACACAGTTGTGGGGTTTCACACTTTATAACCCTATTCGCAATAATCTATTCACACTGTTGCGGGGTTTCACAGTTTATAACCCTATTTGCAAATCATTTCACTCTATTATCAGTAGTCTACACGTTTTCACAGTACGGGAGCTATACAAGTGCAACTGTATCACACACTCCCAATTATTACTCGGTTATCACGAACTATCACTGATTCTCACACACGCGTCCATAACTTGTAACTATCTCGTAAACTCGAGAACTTGAGAACTTGAGAACTAACTGTGAATAGTCTTCGCTGCTCCTTATTTAGCCTCGTTCCGGACAACACAGAAAACAGTCATGTATAGGCACCACTGTTGTCTGGCGCCGTGTTGCTAGCAACGCTGTCGGGAGTTGTTTCCTGCTGTGTAGCAATGGCGGCATCCCGTGTTACATCACAGTGCGGAGGGGGGGACGGAGCGCTGACTCATCCGCCATGTCACTGCTGGGTAGGGAGGTGTTGTCCTCCATTGCGCAGCATGTCACAATACTGTTGGTGTTGTGATTATAGCTATCATTAGTAAGCTGCGATAGCCTAGTAGACAATCAGGTTGCAATTTCTGTTAAAGGAATATGGATTTTTCTCTTTACTACTCTGTCCAGAAAAGCCATGATGTTCACCCAGCTTCATCACAAACAGGGTGCCAATACTTTGCCTCCATATTCCCCTAAATTTTTATGCTGTGATGGGTAGGTATAGGGATAATATAAATTTTATCTTACCCTCATGAAGTTGAGGTTTATAGCTCCAGCTATGTTGCAGTAGCTACTTCGGTTCTCATTTTCTCCAGAGTGTGACAGTGTGTAATGTGAAACTTGTTACGTAGCTTCCTGTTATAATGTTGGTCCTGTTTGTGACAAAAACAGATTGTTTAGGGCTGTAATATACTGCTGCTGTTTTGTCTCATTGCATGATCAAACACTGGAATGTGTCCTGTGTGGCTTGCTACTGGTGACTCAGTATCTATGCAGTTCTGCAGTTCTGTAGCTCATATTGCATGACTTGTACACATGGAAGCGGGTACAGATATATGAAACCTTACAACTTAAATTTTCACATGCCTATACTGAATGCGTTTACCCTTTTAATTCCACAGATTACTCTACCAGCGTTACTGTAGGCATATTTCCAGTCATGTATCTTACCTGCTTCAGTGGTATTTTTGGAATATACATGCTGTTTAATTTTTTCTGCTTGGTATATCCTAGAAAACTTTTTGGCTGAATGCACATTTATGCAGTATTCTAATGTTTCTGTGAGCTGTGTGACAGTTTTTGCACACAGTCTCAGAAGATTGCAGCAACATATGGAGTCAATTGTCACAGTTTTCTATTTGCAGTAATGATGTATTTCATATTTTAGAGGAAATGTGCTGAATTCCAAGTGACCACTGAAGGGATTTAAAGAGGCCATGAATGCTTCTACTATGAACTCCTGAGGCTGCAGACATGTTGATCCAGATTGTAAATGTAGACTACTTTATCCACACTATATAGAAGGGCACCTCACTGTTCTTTAACATTTATCTTCACATTGGAATAGGTGTATACACTATTCCTATGACCTGTTTCATTCACTAGCCTCCAAATGTCACTGTTGAATGGTTGGTGGTACAGTGAAACTCCCATTTGGGATTTCTTTGGTAGCAGTGGGTGTGAATACTAGGCAGAAGGAAATCTTAAATTGAGGAATTTTAATGGTGAGGTTATTGTCTTGGAGTTATTGAACTGAGACTGAGTGTTCAGTGGAAAAATCTTAAATAAAGAAACATAAAATGAGAGATTTGAGGTTCTCATAGTAAAGAAAGGTAAAGTTGTCCCTGTGCATAACTAATTAAGCACTACACCATGAAGGCCTATGGGAGAGTGGATGTATAGATCCACATTTTCTTGACCTTGGCACTAGTTGGAGGTGAGTGGTCAGCTTCATGCCTCAGCTGTTTTACCCCCAGAGAAAGAGCCCATGGTACCCATTTGATAGGAAGTTGGGTGAACCCCAGAGCCAGTCTGGATGACGGGCACAGGCCAGAAAGCCTAATCCATCAAGGTAGAAGAAGATAGTAAGTAATGTGGTAATTGCTTTGATTTGGACAGGTGATAGGCCATCACTGCCAAGTGCCTGCATTGAGACACTACAGGAGAACAAAGCAACACAGTCATTGAATGCCCTCCAAGTGCGGGAGTACTGCCAGAAAGTGTTCCAGTTCAAAGCAATAAAGGTCCTCAGGTTCAAGTAAGTCTTATTAACATAATCATTGTTCTGAATGTTATGGCAGCTGGGAGTGTAAACTTCTCAATGCAAAATAGAGTGTTTCATGAAACAGATAGGAGAGGGAGGACTGGGACAAGAGCCCTGAGCTAAGAGCATGGTAAGGAGAACAATGTAAAGAATATACAACCTTTAAAAGAGTAATTCTCTGAGAGTAGAGCAGTTGGAAGAAATAATGGCTGTGTGAACCAGGAAAGTCGGGAGCAAAAGAAAATAGGGGACCAGTACCCTGGGAAAAGGGCTCTTTAAAGGAGCACTTATCTCTTTCTTCTATTTCTCCTGACTTTCTTGTGACTGAGATATTGTGGATATTTTCTGCCCAGTAACCTAAGTTGTGTTGACAATATAAGGGTGTAAGATAAATGTAATGGTGATGTCATTGCAGAACTTAACTCTGGTATATGTAAGTTCTGTCTTAATTTCAGGTCATGGTCAGACAGAAGGCGTTTCACGAAACAAAGAAAGCACCAAAAGTTACAGAGACCAACATTACCAGAAGGAACCAAACTAATCAAATTTCCTTTGCCTGTTCAAAACCAAGGTATACCAATGTGATCAAAACTTGTAAAGGAAAAAGAAACTGGTCTGGTAGTTACAGAATTTTCTAGATTGTCCATCCTGGTAAAGGCAAAAAGATGCTTGAATAGTGAAAATGTGAATGATCTAAGATATTTTATGCTTCTCTGTCACAACACATCACAGATTACTTATGCCCAAGATATGAGCTTGGACTACTGCTAGTTTCATTGAATGTGCTGATTTTGTTAAGGCTCTCAGAGACATCATAATGCTATAGCCAGAACAATTTTTGATTTGAGGAGGTTGTCCTAATATCAGTTGGCTGTCTCTACCTCTGAGGAGCTGAAGATCTGTATTCTGTGTCTGTCCAGAGGTGAGCATTGTCACAGTATGTGGTAGGAGGATTCTTCCTTCTGTATACCTTTCCTGTATATGGCACTTTCTTCTAGGTACATAATGCAGAGGTGCCATCTCATTGTATAGTGGTCAGTCAGCAACCCTGTTGCCAGCCTACTGTGTTTCTTGTGCAAGGCCAATGGCCCCACTTCATCCAAAGGCCCTTCAATGTAGAGCTTTGACTGCTTCATACCTGGTTCAGCAGCTCCATTGATACAGTGCACTTTGTTTCTTGCTTAGAGCTATATGGTTTTTTGAAAGTGGACTTAATGGAAGAACATGCTGCATGTTCAGAATGTATTGATATTTCATTTTTTTTTTTACTTTCCAGACAGTGGGAAAGGGCATCCCAATATACGTGGACCAAAAAAGGAGTGGATAATGAACCCAAATGGCAAGAGCTATGTGTGTATCCTTCATGAATATGTTCAACATGCACTTAAGAAACAGCCATCATATGAGTTCAAGGAGCTAGGTAATTCAAATTGTCTATTTTGTGTATTTGTGCCTCAAAGAAAATGGAAGTTGGTAAGTACACACATTAAAATATGGAGAACAAAATTAATGAAAGTTGGAGGCAACAGGTTCTTCTGTAAATTTGGTAACTACCTGCAAGACTACATCGTATCATAACCCAGAAAACTGCAATCAAAATTATCGAATTTTCGACTCATACACACGTTACACCATTAACTGTACATGCTAGTGTCACAGTTATAATTTTAGTGTGTATGAATACAGTAGTTGGCACACTTGATGCCGTGGGGTGGGTGGGACAAAGGCTGAGCTCTCACATCCCCCTGTAACTTGTCCACTTGTTGACAGATCCTAGAACATGGAAGATGTGAAACTAGATTGGTGGAAATACATAACAATGAGGGTGGGAGGAAAAGGAAAGCGTTTATTACAAAGTTACATCAGAAACATAATATTATTATCTGTTGGTGACTACACATTGGGTTTGGATTGGTAATTGGATTTATTGAACACTTTTACTAATAACTACAAATCATTATGATTGAATCCATGAAATGATAGATAAATGTAAATTATAATGGTCCTACTAATTTACACACTCCAAAGATCAGTGTAACTACAGCACACACAAAGTCTTCTGCATCTTCACTAATTGTTGCTTGGTAACAGCTTCTAACATTGCAGTTTCTTCAGCTTACATGTACATATATGTGCCAACTGGTGTCCATCTAACAACTAAACTCATGACTGAACTGCAACTAACTGGCTTGTCCTATTGGCCTTTGTTATATGTACTCATATGTCCTTGGAACGGACTTCATAGACAGCATAGACCACATAGAAAGCACTGTGTCATAGCTGTTGTTCAGCAATGGCCCACATGTTTACCAGCCATTGTGTAGCCACTTCAGAGTGTGACAGGAAGTTGTTGAGTGCTTGATAGCTGTCCTGGGTTCAAGTTCTTTTGACTAAACATTGTGGCAGGTCCTAGCAAGAAGATGCTTGTAAGTGATGAGGTTTTTTATGAATATAGTGGTATTTCAGAGAGTGAATATAGTAGTGATAGTGAAATAAATGTGAAAATTTTGTTAGGAAGTGAACAAAGTGTCAGCTCTGATGGAGCAGAAAATGTCACTGACAAAAGCAGCATGCAATCTGATGTATGAGCAAATTCAGGTGCTGAGGAACTGCAATTTCCACGTACTGGCAAGCCTGGCATAAATGTTGATTTAGAAGACCCAAGTAACCCACTGGAATATTTTCAGTTTTTTTGTATGCCAGACACTGCAGAAGCAATAGCCAGAGAAACAAATCGGTATGCCCCAAAATTTTTCTAAAACGTACCTAATCTAAAACTAAAATCTAGGACCCATCACTGGGCTGGTATTGAAAACTACATAATTATAAAATATTCACAGTATCTGCCCTTTGAGTTGCAGCAATGTTTCCGGTGGTCTAAATGTTTCAGTGATGATTTCATAGCCTGTAAAAAATAACAATTTTGCAGTGATGTCTGGAAGAACTGTTCAGTTCATTCATCCATACTAGCCTTGAGGTTGCAAGAGAAGTACAACTTTTAAGCCCGTACAGCAATAAGAAACTCTGTATATCAATGAGATATTCATAATATCACTAGATGGATGTGTCAGCCGAATCTTATGATTGTGTTTTAATTCTTAACACCAGACGCCAGTCAAGAATGCATATATTGAATATGCATGACTCAGGCATATGTGTGAGATCATGCAGTCTGAATGGAAATGAAAGTCAGTGGTGACAATGGCATTTTTTTTGAGAGCAAAGCCAAAAGTATGGAATTTTGCTAAAAAATTATATAAACTTTAATGTAAGGGCTATAGGAATGAAAATAAAGGTACATGAAGTTTGATAATTGTTCTATCAGAAGCTTTTGTTTATTAATTTTATAACAACACACAATTGATATATTTCATATTAAACAGGGAGAAAAAATCATAAATTTAATCGGCACAATGACAAATGTAAATGTCCGGGGAATTTAATGTGCCATTGTGAGAGAGATAAGAATGTGGAAAAGAACCACTTGACTGGTTAAATAAACTGCAGATGGTGAGCCAAGAAATCTGTACACATACTTGTGAATTATGTCTGTTAATCAGGATATTATCTTTTTGCCTCGTATTATTGTAAATGTTAGATAGTTAATGTGGGTGATCTTCATTGTGTGGCTTGTGTGACTTTGTGTATATGTTTGGTGACTATTTCCACAGCCTGGGTCTGTTGCCTGTATGGATGTTTATGGAAAGTGGAGGATGTGTATGTATGTATATGATGAGTCCTGTATCAATGTTTATGGGAAAATGAAAGAAAGAAGAAAAGATAATTGGTCATAAGTGTGTAAATTTATAATGCATTTAATTCAGTTAACTTGGGTAATTTGAATGAAATTGTATTAATTTTAAGTTTTTATAGTAATGTTCTTTTTAAATTATGTTTATTAATTATAATTGTAATAAGTTTTTTATTCTATTATCTATGTTAATTGACTAATGTATGTGATTTTAATTATGTAACTTATGTAATTTATTATATATATCTGGACACATCTATTATCAAAGGGACTATTTCCACATCCTAGGTTTTTTACCTGTATGGATAGTTGGAAAATAAAGGAAAGGAATAAATGAATGAATATTTGACTAGGGAATGAACTCAGAACCTTATAAATGAAAAACAGTGTCTTCTTACTCCAAGACCACCATGTCCCCTATTGATTCACTTTATATGTCCCATCCATTTTTGTCTGTAATCCTGTATGTCATTGATTAAGGAAACCTGTTCCATACATTCCTAATGTAAAATATTGTGAATTATTTACAGAGAATGCTGCTACCCCATATGCTGCAACAGTGACAATTAACTCTATGCAATATGGAGTTGGATATGGGACCAGTAAAAAGCAAGCAAAGTCAGAAGCAGCACGAGCAACTCTTGAGATTCTAATTCCAGAAATGAGGGAGAAGATACAGGAAGATAAGCGAGTTGGGGCTCGTGGAACCAGCAAGAGCCAGGACACAGATCTCTCAGTGAGTGAGATCACACAGCCATTTTAATCTGTGGCAAACTTACTGTTACAGGGATTGTGGTTTTCTGGGATGTGACGCTGACAATTGAATATACTGCCATTGTCATGTGAATACATTCTCTCGTTGATGATGTTTGTGATTGATAATCAAACTAAATTTTGTACAGGTTTAGATGTTCGTGGTTTGAATACAAGAAATCGAAAGCAATTATATTTGCCAAACTCGAATCTTTCTGCTTTTCAGAAAGGTACTATGTTTACCAGTATTAAACTATTCAGCAGATTGCCCATAACCATTCAAAGTCTTAAAGAGGATAGAATTAGTTTTAAAAATAGGCTGTCTTTATATCTTACGAATAATACCTTTTATTTACTTTCTAAATATGTGGAGCATAACATAAACAGTTAGTTTAATTATTCTGTTATCTGTGTTTGTTTAAATTTTTTGTATTTTTTTTTTGATGACCTTCATGTCCATTTGGTTTGGACTTATGAAATGAAATGTATGTATGTGGTAAGTTGGCCCCCCAGGAAATGGTGGCAGCAGGTTCCTCCAAAACAGTGGTACGAATCTACCAAAATAACTGTCATTACATCCCAGAAAACCATAATTTTCAAATTCACCACAATGAAAATGTCAGATCTCTTATTGTATTCTGTATGTTAAAGAGAACAGTTTTTGTGGACCAAAACATGGCTATGAAAATGCTGCCTTCATCATTAAATAGACACAACTTAAGATTTTTTACTAGTTTATGTTAATTTATGGTAAAGTAAGGTGATTTTCACATGTTGTTTAGATTTGCACAGTTTTTTACAAGCATCTATCAGATTTAAGACAGTATTTATGCTTTTCCAATTACCCAGATGCTACTTTAAACATAATATGCATATGTTCTAAGAGTGTTTTAGGAGACATATCCCAGTTCTGTCCCACATAAGATTGCAATTGAAATACTTCTTGGCCGTTTCTGTGAGAGTGAAAGTGTTAGGGTTACATGACTTTTGAATCACTCTATGTAAGGATAGTTTATCAGTCAGAAGTCATGCACATTCAAGTGTGAGCCTCATATTTTTTTTAATGTTTCTTGTTATAATCCAGTTCTGCTTCTCTTACTTTGTTCTATGTCTCTTGGGCTCTTTTATGTTGTTTATTTTATTGGATTGATATTTACACAGTATATGACATACCTTCATTTAGTAGATATGATATGAATTCAAACTTCATTTGAATCTCTTGTCTCAATCATCACTGGTTTTTGTATTACTGTTAGAAATTTATGTTTGCAGTTCTTTGATGAGATTAAGATTGAGGATCCTCGAGTAGCAGAATTGTGTGCAAAGACTACAGAACCATCACCTTATGCTATTCTCCTGACATGCTTACAAAGGTAACAGTTCGTTTTGTATAGTCCACTTTGTAGATCAATGTACTCTTGGTTATCAAAAACTGATGGGATGAAAAAATAGAAAGAAAAGAAGTTGGCAAAAGTGGATGATTTATAACAGTTTCTGTATTTCTTAATAGTATTCCCCTAGAACAAAATCTTAATTGTAAATTATAATACCACTATACTGTATTTCTCACAGGACCATTTCTCTTATGACATGCACCAAAACACCATACTGGCATTCTTTTTCATAAAGTACAAAAATATGTACTTAAATACAGTAAACACCAAGTTTTTTGGTGTCCAAGCATCCTGAATTCTCATACACCTGACAAAAATCAGAGAAAAATTTGCCATTTTCATATAGTTACTTCAAAAACAAAAGTTTCACCTACCACATGGTGCTTCTCCGAGCCACCACTAGCAGTTTTGCTGATCATTCTCCCTCATACAGGTGTCAGTACAGTAGAGGCCAGTTGAATTTGTGATCATGTTACATCATGTCTTAAATGCCACCAGTCAATCTGCTGTGTCACATAGAAAGACTCACATGCAAGAACAAAAGCAGAAACATAAACCATATTGTTTTGAAATAATATTGGCATTCTGCAAGAATTTTTCTCATGCACCCAGCAGATTCATATAACTGACACAACCCATTCCCCATACATGCTGGATAGTGGGGAGTTTTCTTTAATAGGCTGTGATGAGATAGTAATAGAATTGGTTAACTTGAAAAGGGAACATGTCCAGTGGCTGAAAACAAGACATGTTTTGTTTTCCACCTAACCAGTTTAGTTGTATTATTATAGCTTTTTTAGAAGAAGTCACAAGATTGAATAGCATACCTTTACTAGTATGAATAATTCAGGATAAATTTGGATAATAATAATAGAATATAGCATTCTAGAGTGAAAGTTGTTGTGTGACATCATGCAGAGTGTGTTTAAAATAGAGAATGGTATTTCAGGAACTTTGGTCTTGGTGAAATGCACATCAAATATGAGGTTAATACACTCCGCCACCAGAAAAATGAGTTTACCATGACAGTTGGTAGACACAGGGCCAAAGTGATCTGCAAGAACAAACGTGATGGAAAACAAAGAGCATCTCAGTCCATTTTACAAGTATGTGATTTGATTAGATTTGTAGCTCTTTTGTGTTTGCCCAATTCACAGTTTGTGTACATTTCAGCTGTTACATATAAAGTGGGTGAAATAATATAAAATACTGACAGTAATCTGAAGTATATATAGTAATATTCTTATGATCTGGGAACACAGTTGAAATCAGTAAATTCTTAGTTTTAGCTGGGATATCTGAGTCAATATAGTGACTAGGTTAATGGCTGGTGATCAAGGAATCAGAGTCCCATTCCTGGGAGAGGCAAGAGATTTTTCTCAGTTCTGCAATATCCAGAAGGGCACTGGGGCCCACCCAGCATGCTGTCCCATGAGTGCAAAGATACTTTCTCTGGAGGTAAAGTTTTGGGGGCATAAAGCTGATCATTCACCTCCATCTAGTGACAAGGCTAAGAATGTATGAAACAAGATCTCCACTCCTCTGTGTCTTCATGGCATGGTGCTTAATTAAACATACAGTAAAGTTTATCTGACTTGTTAATTGGAAACAGACTCCTATGGTTTGGTCCTATGGTTACGTGCCGGCCGCCCTTTACTTCCCAGGAAAATTATTTAATTAATTCCTGGTACTCATTTCTGTTAGAGGCTGAGTCAACCCCAGACCATAGTGCGGCTGGAACAGCTCTTAACAGAATTTAGTTTAAATATAACATGACTATTTTTTTTCTGCATTACAGAATTTGATATCTTATAAATAAAACTTAATTTCTTGTGCCACATACAGTTTGCTTCTGCCATGTTTATGTTGAAAGTTATTCAGTTTTGAAAGTGCACAATGACTTTATAAATATGTTGTACTATCTTTCAGAGTGAAATGACATGCTATTTTGAATATGCATTATAAGATTTTCACATGGGGAGTTTTCTTCCATCAAATATTTGGTAATATGGACAGAGCTTAAGACTTATTTACATTGATAGGCCCTGCATCCTCACATCACAAGCTGGGGATCACTGCTCCGGATGTATGGTAACCGATCTGTGAAAAGTATAAAGGAAAAAAAGCAGGAGGAGCAGGAAATCACACTGTTACAGAGCAAAGCCTCAATCAACTCACCCAACTTCGCTATCCTGGATAAACTGAAGTCTGAGATGAAGAAACTGAAGGAAGTAAAGGTAGGGTGTGCACTTCACATAATATTGTGTTATAGGTAAGTTATCTCACTTCATGGGTCAAATCAATGGCTTGTGGTGAACATAATTCAGCTGTAAATGCCTTGAATTTTGAACTGAAGGAAAAAATAGAAATTTGAGGTAGAATATGGTTGAGCTCTCTGTCAGTGTAATCTGGTCTTCTCAAGCCATATGTCTATTTCACTGTGTTTCTGTGCGGATGCTATGTAACCATGACTTCTGTAGGACAAAAAGCGATTTAAGTTCATGTTACATATTAAGTGACTACAGACAGGTTTGGATTGGTAATTGGATTTATTGCATTAATCATAACTACAATCAAATATGACAGTTTCACAGATCTGCACACTTAACGAATCATTACAGCATGCACTGAGTCTTCTCAGCCTGCAGTGTCTTCAGTTGTCAGCTGGTAACACTCCCAGTCCCATGGATCACTCATCTTCTTTGTTCCCTGGCTTTGGTCTTCGTGGGCTGATGCCTGTCTTACAATTCAACTAGCCATTGCCTGGTTACAGTCTTCTAACAAGAGCTACACTTATACACTCACTGCTCATGAACTGCACTCCCTAACTGCCCACTCAAGACTGCTGATCTGCCACAGGCCTCCTTCCTCAGACTGGGACTGTCTTGGACTGCCTGTCTTCAAACTCTACTCAGACACCTCCATCTCCCATGCCTTCACCAGGGGCCAATAGTTTCATAATGGCAGCTATTCCTCATTATATATAGTCTTGGCATGGACCGCACAGAAAACAATGGACATTGCTTAAGAAGAGGGATGCTGTGCTTCTGCAATGATGCTAGACCCATTTCAAAAACCTTTAGAAATGCACACCAATAAAACATTTAAACTAAGTTCAAGGTTACAAAATATTTAAGTCTATCTATATGGTCTATGTCCAGCATCCTAGTTCTTTACATAAAAACCTCAGCATTTCTGAAATGGGTTCTGTTTCTGTGTCTAGGTGTAAGAGGTTATAAAGAATTCGTAGTCTCTTGGTCCCTTGGTAGGGTTGCTATTATACCCTGGAAGGTATGAATGTATTGGTGTGTGACAGTAACTCTCCCAGGGCCCAACATAGTAGGAATTTTTCATGTCACCTCCACTCAAAGACAGAAATAGAACTCATGTCCAAAACATGTTTCTTTATAAAAATCTAGGCTTCTGAACAAGTCCAAATAAATAATAAATTAATGTCTTTGTTAACCCTTTGACGTGGTCATTTAAATTCCGCGGCCGCGGCTCCTGCGGTAATATATTCAGCCGGCCATTTAAATTTTGCTCGAAAATTATTTATTCATCATTGTTCTTAAATTCTATGAGATAGGAACATGAAACTTTCACTAAAATGATCTTAAATGGTGGTTTTATAACCTTACCTTATAATATG